AAGTTGGACAAAGTGTCAAGTATCTAAATACAACGATAGACAGTGAGCAGTCTCAACTAGAGAACAAACTGCTCCCACTAGACGCCACTTCCAAATCCAAGCCTGTGTTTCTGAAGTGCCAGTTCACCACTGACCAGTTGGATCGCTTCCAGAGGATTAGTCTGCACCGGTTTGTCAATGCTTCTTGGATGACATATGACTTCACCATTTGTGCCATCGATGTGAGTATGAATCAAGTGGATTCCACTGCATCGTCACACTTCTCTTCTGGCTTCACTTATGGAATGTGGTCAAACAAACATGTTCGCTCCAATGACAAGGTGTATTTTATCATCAGTGAAGGCAAACATGTGGATGTCTATTTCACCGGGGCAACCGTGAGTCGTTGTTATTCCACACATGTGTATATTTATTTAACGCCATACCTGGTCGCCTCTTCGGTCTTGATTGAAAAGCATTTCCGATTTCTTTCACTTTGTCACCTCCATTTATTTGATGACTGTTTGATTTGGCGAATATTGATTCCAACTAGGTATTTCTTAGTCCGATACAACTGGCGTAAGCGATTACTGAACAGGCTGATCTAGATGAGCAATAGCACAGTCGAGAGGAGTGAAGTCACTCCTACCAATGAGAGTTTTCACCAACAGACTCTGACGACTGAAAGGCGACTTACTGACGCAATCACATTGGTCATCTCCTCATGGTGACAAATGCAACCTGGCGTGTACTCACTTTCATTGTGCGCAAATTTTGTTTTGATAAAGTCTCACAGTGTTATACAGTAATGTTTACTGATGACGTTTCGAGCACAATTTATTGCTCATAATCATATCAAGGTAATCACACAACTTCCTAAATTCATTTATATAGTTCCGTTGTTTTTCACTTGATTTTCACTTGATTTGATTAGTAGTAATATTTTCCATATTTCGGGTATGAGTGATGAATCATTCCTATTGGATGTGTTGGATGTAGATTCGATGAACGAGGATTCAGTAATCAACCTCTCTCCCTCCACCTATCTAGATTACTTTTTAGAATTTTAACCCTCTCCCACCCTATTGTGTGGTTGTGTGTTAATGCATGCATTGCAATTGCTGAGCTTTTTTCTAAATTACGTATCTTCTCTGGGTCAACCATTCTTGCCTTAGCTAAATTCTTATGTTCTGACAATCTGACTACCCCTGACCTACTAGTCTGACCTATGTAGTCGACCTCACTGTCATTGCAGGGTATTTTGTAAATTATATTATTTTGTCTAATTCGGTCCACTGGCTCCTTTAACCTACAGAGCTCGTCCCTGAGTGAGTTTGTAGGTTTAAATGCCACCACTCTAATTCCTGCTTTATTTAGAATCCTACGTAGGGTCTCAGATGTCCCCTCTTTATATGGTATAACTGTAGATGACTTATATTCTCTCTTATTTATGTTATTATCACTAATTTCACATTTATTTTTCTTTTTCTTTTGGCCTTTTCCAATCTTCCTAATGAATTTTAGAGGATAGTTATTTAACACCAACGCCTCTTCTATCTGTTTTATTTCATTATTTAGGTCTTCTTGGTGCTAGGTTTGTTAAACACTTAACTAAGCCTGCCTTAACAGTTAAATTATGAGATGAATTAAAGTCTAAATATCTATTAGAATGCGTTGGTTTTCTATAAACACTAGTGTGTAGTTTGCCTTCTTCTATTCGTTTTATTTTACAATCTAACATAGCTAATTCTCCTTGTTCATTTTTGGCTTCAAATGTGATTTTTATTCCCTCCACTAGTCAGTTTATGTGTGTCAAGAAGCTAGAGATATGTTTTGTTTTTAACACTGTGTTTGAAAATGTCATCCACCATATTTTTGGAGTGAGATTAAACGTATTAAGAGCCATATTTTCCCAGCTATCCATAAATACATCTGCTACGATAGGGGATATTGGTGATCCATCGCATTGCTACACCTTCAGTTTGTCTAGATATTTTGCCTTGGAATTTAAAGATAGTAGATGTGAGGCATAACTGAATTCCTAAAATAATTTCATCAAAGGGTAGTTTCGTCCTATAAGTGAGTTCAGGGTCCGCAGTTAATTCTTTTTTAACTGCTTCTAAGGCCATATTGATTGGTATGTTAGTATGGAGACTGGTTATATCAAAACTAACCATTGTTTCATCACTCTCTATTTGAATGTCATTTAGTTTATTTTTCATCTCAAATGAATTAGCTAGTCTAGAGTTTGAGCGATTTCTAAAGGGGCATAATATTAGAGCTAAGTGTTTTGATAATTCATAAGTAGGAGTATTCCTAAAATGCACTATTGGTCGTATGAGGTACCGTGGTTTATGTGTTTTAATAGTACCATACATTCTACTAGCATTATTAGTTTTAGGCATTAAATTAAACCATTTTGACTCACCCAGTAACGGCTTCATTCTGCGTATTGATTCCGCTGTGGATTTTTTAACCTTATTCATTATTGTATCTACAGGCTTCTTAATTTCCTCATATGGACCCATCTCAATATGTTCAGTGACTTTCTTGATGTAGTCAGATTTATCCAAGACTACTGTCGAGTTTCCTTTGTCAGCTTTCGTAATGACGATGTTTTTATCTTGCTTTAGACTAATTAAAGCTAGTCTTTCTGATGTTGTCAAGTTTGATTTTGTTTTCTTTTGATTTTTTCAGGGTTAATGCACATTGTGCTCGAACCTCTTCTGCTGTCGTCTAATCTATTGAGCTTAGTGCTACTTCTATGTTAGGAATGACATCCTCTGCTTTTAATTTATTAACTGTTACGTTGAAATTTAGTCCTTCCTCAAGTACTTTTATCTCACTAGAGCTTAGTTCCCTTGATGAGAGGTTGATCACCCACTTTGTTCTGTCGATAGCGGTCAACGACAAAGATTATATAATTGTTGTTGAAACATCCAAAAAAGCTAGAGAATCGGTATTAAAAAAAATCAAAAATCACACAAATCAAAACATTCAACAAACTAATTGAAGAAAAGAACACAACAAATGAAATTGATGTCAACACTTCATCCGCGTGTTTACATTGTGGTTACTAGTTATCTTCTGTGTGTCCTTTAGGAGTGGAATAATGACTAGTCGGTCCAATGTGAAACGGTTAGAACTGTCCTTAATGTTCAGCCTATGTCATGCCTACACTGTAGCGATTGAGCAATTTAGAAGTTGATAAAATTACTCATCTGAGGTTACTGCCTTGCCCTCCATCACATCACTCTACCAGGTTGTAGAGTAAAACACTGTTTGTGATGACACATGTCAGTTTTCAAATCATTGCATGCTAAATCACACTCCATTTTTAAATATGATTACTGATGTATATCATTGCTGTGACTAGTGCGACAACAGTTGCTCACACAATCCATGAACACACCTGGTCCAGAAATAGACGTGTAGACGGAATGCATTCAAGATTTGATGCGGCTTTGTTTCCATTCGCAGTTGGGGCAGGTTCAGTGTGAACATTCATCCATTCAGCTGTCTATGTGACACGCTGGTTGTGGGAGAGCTGGTGACACTGCTCAGTCGCACAAGCTCGAGTAAACAGCGTGAGATTTCAGACGTCCAAGTGCTGAGAGGTGTGAGTCACGGGTCTACTTTGTGTGCAGCATACCTCATGCTCTAGTAAAACATACACCAACAAAATATGTCTATCATCCCGCTAATGAGCTGACTGTAAATCAGACATCAGAGTGGACGGTTGTGTCTTAGCAGAGGTAATATTCACGTCATGACTGGACAAAGCGCATCCAGCCTGCTGTTAACTCGAAATGCCATTCAGTTGTGGAGTCTGAATATTGAGTAAGTGAAACAACTCGTGTCCTATTATTGGAATGGCCAATAAATAATGAGTAATGTGAGGGGACGGATACTTGCAAACAACACCAACCGGCTTTACACAAACCACATTTAGACTGACTAGATATTTGTGTACGTTGTACATCCGCCTCTTGCGTTTACAAAATAACCACCAAAATTCGTGAGCCTATTACTTCTTTTGACGTAGAGGCTGATTATTTGTCAGAATGAGCATTTCTCTTTTCCTCTCCATATACACGGATATCCACGGAGAATAAATTTGGCCAACCACGCGGACGCACACACACACACACGCATACAGACTTTTATGACTGACGTGTGACAGACTGTGCTTCATTTGTGATGTTATATCCGACAATACAGCTTATTCATTGAACTCAACCTCCTCTATTCTCATTTGCACAACACAGGAGTTCGACAGTGGTCATTATTATTGTACTGCCCATACCGAGAACGGAAAACCAATCACAGGGTCAGTCGCACTGAAAACAATCCCCGGTCAAGCAAAGCAATTACTGCTGGCCTTTCGTACGCACTCTTCAACAGCGAAGTGGGAGTTCGCACATGTGAAGAACATCTCTCAGGGAAATACTCTGACAATCCAGTGTGTCGTGTGGTCAACAGATCCCGTCAGGAGATCGCTCACCCAATTGAGACTTGAATTGGACGGTCTGGGTGAAGAAGATGATGGTTTTGTCGAGGAAAACACAGGCACTGACATCATACTTGGCCGTGTGAATATTACAAGGGAGGTCAGTGAAAACATGAAGTCGGTGAAGTTTCGATGTGAGACCTCCGATGAGCAAGGGACACTAACCTCACCTCACTATACATTCACTGCCTACTGCCCAGCTCCAAATGGTATCACATGGAGCTCCGACGACTCGAAGGTCTACTCTCAGTCATCCATTCTGCGTTGCTCAATGAAAGACGGCTGTGCAGACCCTGTGTTTCATTGGAGGTGGTTGGCTGGCCCCATACCTCAGTTGACTGTGCTCACGGACGATATGCACGTGAAGATCTACGAGAGAGGTGCGGAACTCCGACTCACTCACCTGTCGCGGAGTGGGACATATGTATTCCAGTGTAGTGTGACCTGTCGTTGTGGAGATGAGGTGCGTGTGGGACTGGTGGAAGCTACTATTCTGTTCGACAACGAAGTGATGAGTGGGACTGAGTTCGATTGGAGAGATGACGAGTCGCGTGAAATAGAATCGGATGTGACTGACTGGCGTGTTGATACGACACCTGCAGAAGGACAGTTGATGCAGAGTGGTGATCTGGAAAGTGATGCTGGCTACCCAGATATTGACTCAGACAGTGTGTTGCGAGACGAGGAACTGGATGAAGAAGCGCAGGAGCAGGAAGGTCTCGACACGCGACGAGATGGGAAGACAAGTCGGAGTGAAGCTTCAACAGACATGGAATATGGTGGTGAGCCTGATTCCGACATTCTAGAGAATGACCAGAATGAACTCGTTCAGAGACGCATGAAGGAGGAGGAGAAGAAGAAGAAGAAGGGTAAGAGGAGGCGAGAGGAGGAGACAGAGAGGCAGGAGCGAGGATATTCGGATGACGAGAGAGACCATGAAGCACCTCCATATACCAGGATTCCAGGAGAGATTTCCGATGTGGGAGAGTGGAGTGAGGATGAAGTGGCAGGTGGACAGGTCGCACCTGCAGGATGGAAACAGACTCAGGAACCTGGTGAACCCGACTCGAGTGATGTGTCCCCACAGGTGCACCGGTGGAAAAAGCGACGACATCCTGATGCAGGAGGGGAAGTTCCTCACCCATGGCGAAAGCAGGAAGATTCCGAAGAAGATAGTGACGAATCTGGTGAAGTTCTGGGTGACAGACGACGACGCCTCACAGAGTGGGATGTCACTGATTCTGAAGAAGTCGGCCCTCGAGCAGGTGTTCACGGGCGCGGAATTGGTGCAACACGAGAAGCAGATATTGTGAAGACTGATTCCAAACTTGACACATACCGGGAGAGAATGAAAGGGAAGGAGGGAAGAGGTGAGGGTGTTGTTGGTGCAGGTGAAGCTGGAGACCGGACTGATGAGCGGAACGTCAACATGCCAGATTCTGAGGATGTTCCGGATGTCCCGGAGTCATTACAGTCATATGATGACTCACAACACGAACCCAGGAAACGTGCCTATCAGGAACCCGTCGAAACTGGTGTCAAGAGAAAACCATCAACAGCCGGTTGTAGACACCAATGTGGATCAGAGACATCATACAAATCTCAGGATACTGAGGAACGCGATGGTTGGAAAAATAATGTGAAACGCCTGTCGGAGGTACCGATTCATCGAATTGGAGGGACTCAGCCTGACGGATTGCACAAACGAGGCAGAGTATCACCTTACACACCAGAAACTGACAACTCTGATGACGATGACACCGGTTCCGTGAGGATGTTTATCAAGTGTTTCGAAGTGGGCGATTCAGAGAATGGCAAGTTCAGGATAAAGAGAATACTTCATCGTTACCTTAGTCGGAACAAATTCATGTTGAAAAATCTGCCTCTCCACTACGCCTTTGAGGAGTTGAGCAGACAGTGCGACCAGTTGACGCTGAGAGACTCCATTACACTCCCGTCGACCAGCATTCATCCTCGACAAGTGGATCTGTCATTCTTTAGAAATCCACCTGAATCAGTGAGAGAGGTTCAGCCACCTGCGTTTGACTCATCACCATCTTCACACTTGTCTCGTATTTCATGGCAACACCAATACAATGTGGGTCATATTCCACCTACTGTCAAACGGAAGAAGAAACTTGCTGTCATCATTCAACCCAATCCGATCGTTCCGAACTCCGTTACAACTCTCGGGTGTCCAGCAGTGTTCTCCAGTGTTGCGAGATATTCGAAGCCACTGCACATCACGTGGATACGCAATTCGTGGTCAAGCAGTGTTTCAGTCTTGAACACCTCACAATCGATCGTCACGTTTCCGACGAGCCGTCGTCACATCGTTTCAGATGACAACAGCTGGTCTTCGAAAACGTATATTTATCCACCATACAGGTGGCCTATCCACTACACGCTCGATGTAAAGCCAACAGACACTAAGAGCTATGGTTATTTCAGCTGTGTTGTCACATACAAGGCATCGAATACACTGGTCAATGCCACCTACCATTCCACAACGCCACTCTGTGTTGTCCATCCAACTGAGAAACCACAAGTCTCAGTCATCAGTATGCACTCACCACAACCCACTGAGAACTATGATGACTCCGCTTGCTATAAACCTGGAGAAGAGATCGAAGCTCACTGTCATGTTTCACTATTTCGGCTGTTCTGTGAAGACGATGACGAGGAAGTGAGGGGTTTGAGAATGATTCAGACCGTTGTTTCACTATCGCTGATCAGTGGAGACAAGCATTCCAGCATGAAGGCGATCAGATCAGATGACCTAATTCCACAACACAGTAGCAATATAACAAGCAAACACACTCACCACGCCAAATTCAGACTACGTCTGTTGCCTGAACACAATCGAGCTCACCTGATGTGCACTGTTCGGGCGGATGTTGTACTGCCAAATATGAAATCGCCAGTCTACGGACAGTGGTTAAGTCGGAAGGTGAATTATGATGATCGAAATAAACTGACACGATCATCGAAGCCAATCGAGTTATGTGTATCTGACGACTCCTTCAAATCGGATTATGCTGGCTTATCATCAGTGGGGAGTGAATTTAATGAGGAGGTACTGCGCCTCACAGTCCGACCATCTGAGGTAGTCAGTTGCACAAGTCCCAACCCCATCTTCACACCAACAATCAAAGTGTACGAAGTTACCACACAGACAGTGGTCAAATCTCGTCAATTGAAGTGGTCTGTTCGTAGTGAAGAAGGAACTGCAAGCTTCACTGTACCTGGAGATCCCACCCACAACAAAATCTACAGAATCCGTTGTGAAATCCACCAGCTCAGTTTGAAACAGGTGAGTGACTCATTCGAGCCTAAATAAAATCCATGGGTAACATTTACGCGTGTAACGCCACAATGAACAGTGATGTCCATAGTGTTGTAGGTTGTAGAATGCACTGATCGAAGGCGTCAAATGATGGCATTGGCAATCAAAGTGGTGTGGATGCCACATGCACATAAAGACAATCGACAACCTGTCACAGACTTCAAATAAACCAACATGAGTGTTGGAGAGTTTACTTGGAAGTGTGCACTCGCAAGTGTGACTTCATTAGGACTTCACGTGCATACACGGGCCTTTCATTCGGCGCTTCGTGTCGTGATGTCTATTTGACTACACAGTAGTAGGCTTCGTGGCTTCAGTCACAGTACCCGTTACTCATCTCATTCAACATCCCTAGTTCCTTCACAATATGTTTTCTTTCGTGAAGAATATTCCGCTCATTCTCGATGTCTCTGACCAGTGAACAGTGCAGAGCAGACTACTTGGAAACTGTTGGAATGAGTCTCCCATGCTGAGAATAATTCATCACAAATACGCTGTGCATGCTTCCACCAGTGTTGCAATAGCACAGATTGACTTCATGAGACAGGGCGTTCTTCAGTCACCGCTGCACACTTAGCTCTTATGCACACCTATTTGTAAGTTGCCATATGAATAATAACTGTCTCTGTCCGTACATCCTACTAACAATCACCGAGAAGTTAAGTGTAGAACACCCAATGGATTAACTACGTATCCACAACACTTTCAAATACACGAGGAGTGCAATCAGTTGGAAGCAGTGTACTCACACAGGTGTACAGATAGGTGGGGGTAGGTGAAGCGCCAGTGAATGGCACGTAGTGAAGCGGGGCTAGGCATTTGAATAGAATGGGTAACAGAAGCACCGCACGAGAGAGTAATAATAGTGACGCAGGTGTCAGAGAATGTGCTTGATCAGCATCATCATTCACTCTGCGCAACCGGTGAATCCTACACTCTGTCTAATAGTATGGTGGATATGAAAAGGGACAGTGTATTCTAGGAAAGGTGATTACCGCACTCCAACACATCGAAGAAACCTGAATGCATGACTCTTTGCATTATTATTTGTATTCTTGTCTATTTTCCTACTCTAAGGATGTTGACGTGAATTTCTCTTGCTTCCTCATTACATGATGAATGCAGCTTATCATCATACGAGTTCGTGATTACAACGTTCGCCGGCTGGATATGTGCATTGGACAGTCGGTGATGCTTTGCATCTCCATCGCCACTACCCTGATATTACTTTCGCTTCGCCTTGTCTATCCTGGGAGGATTCGTCTGCATTAGTGTAGAATGAAGAATGTGGTCAACGAACAAATTCTCCTTATCTCTTGTCAACAGTATGCACGATTACTCATCATCACTGAGCGTCAACATTCTCTCTTGGATCTGTTGATCTCGATGTCTTTCTCAACCTGTACAATATTCCTGTCATCCGTTGATACTACTTCAAATCTGGATTAATAATTTACTTCGGAATATGTGAAGTGTGCTACTCGAAATTTTTCTCCAAAATTCTATTCATCTTAGCGTGTTTCACTTATCTTGTTTTGTGATTGTCTGTATTTGTTGATTTGACTATGCAATATGATTTTCCAATTTTACATTTCAATGCATGACAATTATTCAAGATTTCAATTTTTAAGGGATGATTTGTTGTAACCACGTCGAAATGTGATGTCAATTTTTGCTTTCCGTGTCGTGTCTGTAAATATGGACAGAATATAATTTGAAACCATATTTTCCTTTCTTTCATTGATATCGTGGATGTCAGTAACAAATTCTGAGGTGCCTTTCAGTGTGTGCAGAGCATATTTCTCTCTGATATGTCGAGTCAGTTGTGCAAGGTGCTCTGGCGATTCGTGGAATGTAGTGTTCGACAAGGTCCATGCAGTCCGTAAAGCCGTTCGAGGTTTGTGAATTCTCCAGAAGCAGAACATTCATGGTAAACATGATGCTCGAGACCTCAATGCCCGACAGAGATTTCTAACGATTAGACTTTGCTCATACTGATGACTGAGGTCTTTATCGATGTTCTTTACAGCATTATGTATCACGTCTTGACTATTCCATTCAGCGAAGGAGTGCTTGTTTCCACTCAATAGGCCGACCAATTTCCAAACATAGTTTGGTTTGTCTAGCAACGGAACCTTCATCAGGTCTCATTGAGACAATCTGATGGCTCCCTTTCAACTCACTGATGGCTTTCTGGCACACCTCCAGCAATGAATTGCTGTGTGACTCTAGGCTAATAGCGTGGTGGTTTGTCATGTCCGAAGCTGGCCAAATGTCAGCCTCCCTCATCGCTGCATATCGGTTTTAACTCATAGACTCGACTGAACAGATTGTCAAACTGAATTTCAACGTCGATTGACGCCACTTTATCATCAGGAACGTGAAGTAGAAATCCTAAGGCTAGTGATTCTGACTGAGGTTTCGGTAGGGGAACTTCAGAACGATTCAGAACTAGAACTCATGTTTCGACATTCTCCGGATATATTTTTCATGAGATTGTCGAATTACCGGTTAAGACAATTCATGTTCTGTAAAACAAAAAATAATTGAGCAAAGAATATCCTTTTCGATAAATTCATGTTCTGTTTGTAAACGTGCACGATCTCCCATATTGCTGCATGAATCGAAGCATTTTATGCTTCAAAATGAATTCAACGAATCGGAGGTTGAGTCAACACGATTGAATGTGGTGAGCATTTGACTCAATGTGCCATCAGCAGTCACCGTACATGATCTAGTAAGACAGCGTTGATTCTTCTCCATAGGCAACAGCTTTTGTCCAGATGGGTGATGGTAATAATGTCAGGGAAAATGTGCTGTCTCACAGACATGCTCTGAGAATGTTGTGAAAAGTCTGCTGCGAACGTCTTTCAACGGCTGCCTTCGCTGTCTCCACACTGAAGATCAAATGATCGTGCAGAAAGGATTATCATCACGAAACTCTGAGGTAGAACCAACTAAGGATGAACTCAGGAAACAGTTGAGTGATATCTCACACCACGCCATCGCTTGTATGCAATTGGAATGAGGAAGGACGAGTTGGTCATCAGTCCCAGTGTGACATGGTTGAGGTCGTGTGAGGAGGAGATGAGACACGATGTGATGTCGTTGGGGCAGCTGAAGAGAACGTGAGAGAATAAGATTCAATGGAGATGTGCTGTTTAAGTCTGATGTTCCACTGTCTAGCCCAAGGGAACAATGAATAAATAAATAAGCAATAATAATCATGATAACAAATATTCTCGCGTAAATTCAACACGAAATGTGTACATATACACGCGATCAGAATTGGTGGAACTCACGAGCTGACTACTCATTAAAGTCGACAGTACAAATTGTCAAATGATTACAAGTGAACTTCAATGCTTGTCAACACAGATGGTTATAAAGATGATGAGACCTGTTGCAAATTCGATCCGGACAAAAATAGACAAAGTAGGTGAAGATATATAAGCTGACGACATGATCTTCATGTGGATCATCTTCAGACTCTATTCTATTTCACACAGCTTCACTCACATTTGCAAAATTCAATCAATGACGGTAGGTTTGTGGA